ATCTCAAAATTTATATATATAAAAAAAAAGAAAATTGACCTAAATAACCTTCCGCTAGAGCTAGAGACTTAATTTTTTTTTTGTTCGTCTTCATTTTCAAAACGACGCAGAATGCAGTATTCCGCACATTAAAACTCAATATATGAATACTTTTTTGAGACACCCTATTCAACATTCCGGGTTTTAACTTTTCCTTTTTAATCTGAGCTATCTCGCCACCTTTCTCTCAATCTGTCAATGCCTCTCACTTTTAACAAGTGTCTCACTTTTAACAATGTCTCTCACTTTTAACAATCAACCTCTCAATGTCTCTCACTTTTAACAAGTGTTTATAATAAAGGGTTTCTTTTGATAAAAACTTATTTGTTGAGTCCTCTGTGACCGATTTTCGAGATCAACCAGTTTCCAACTTATGTTTTTAATGGCATTTGTTTTTTTTATAGATTCAAAACGTTTCTGTTCATAAAGATGTTTAATTTCACTTTCTGTCCGTTTATTTATTTCTGCAACCTTTGTTAACTCTTCTTGGAAGTTTAGACTCCCTTTTATTCCTTCTAGGTCCTTTTCGATTTTAGAAGTTTTTATTTTGTTTGTAGATAGATCGAGTTCTAATTTATCCAACCTCTCAGTAAAAGTCTTTATATTTGCGCTTGTTATTTTTGCGAAGTTTTTTTTTTTTTTGTTCTTTGAGAAGTCTTACGGTCTCCTTAAATATAATATTTTTTTGCTCTCCAAGCATTTTTTTAATAATTTCTTCAGTATTTTTATTTATATTTATAACTATTATCTGTAATTTTATAAAAATAAGTTTTAAATTTTTATTTCTTCAAGCAGTTGAAAAAAAACACGTGCGTACACTTCAGCGTACAACGTTTTATTTCTATAATTTATATAATTGTACTGTTCTACTTATATAATTGTAAAAGCAAAATGCAAAGTTAGTATGCAAAATAAAGTTTGTGATATAAAGATTTATATTAGCAGACTGTTTAGCTCTGTTAGGAAAGCCTATTGCTCATGCCCTGCAGGAAATAGTGGGTATTGTAATCACGAGATGGCATTATTATTTGAACTTGCAAAAAATTCCTAAAAATTACTTGAGTATGTACCTGAAGAGATTTCATGCCCAAGTAGATCAAAGCAATGGGGCATTCCAAGTCATAAAGTTAAAACAATTAAAAATCCTATAATGTTTACCAATGTTCTGATATTTGAATTCAAGCGTGGTATTAAAACTACCTTATATGATCCAAAACGAATAAAATTTAAAGAAGAAGATTAAAAAAAATATATTTGTACGTTGAAATCGATTGATGCTTTTTTAAATAAAGATAGTGGTATTGTTCATTGTGTACCTAAGCTTTACTGAAACATCATTTGGAAATTTTTCAACTGGTTCTCCTTTATCTTATTAACTTCAGGTAAATGAAACCTTTGAAGTTATTACCAATATTAAAAAACTTCATTCAATGTGCCCAACATACTTCCTACTTAACCTCTTGGCTTTTATAATAAAAGTTATTGCTATGTACTACAAAAAGATTTTTTGTTGTCAATAAAAGTATCTACTGAACAAAGTAAAAAGTATGAAGCTGATACAGTAACACAAAATGAAAATCCATTATGGTTTAATCTAAAAAACATCGTTTAACTTTAAGTACTTTTCATAAAATTTATATCCGCAAAAGAAAATTTGAAACTCTTGTTTAGCAGTTAATTAACCCCCAAAAAACTGTTGAATTACCAAAGTTTTTACAAGAATCTTTAGACCACGTTATACTTATGAACCACATGCACGAGAAAAATATATTGAAGTTTTAAAAAATAAACTAAATCGTAATATTTCAGTTAGGGAAACTGGAATTGTAATACACCCTAATTTATTTTGGTTATCTGCAAGTCCTGACGGTCTGGTACTTAATGAAGAAACTGAGTATTATTACGGCATAGTTGAAATTAAATGTCCCAAAACAAAAAAAAATTTAACTATGTCAGAATGTTTGTGACAATGATTTTTATATTGGATTCGAAAATGGAGAACTATATTTAAAAAAAGATCATCGCACTGGTTATTATACACAAATACAAATGGCAATGGGGTTAAGTAATGCCCAGTTTTGCGACTTAGTTAAGTATACATTTAAGAGAATTGCTATCATAAGAACACCTTTTGACAATCAGTTCTTTTTTGAATTAGTTACAAAATTAGATAATTTTTACATTAACTATTTTCTACCACAATTATTAGATAACAAAAATAATAAATAATATCCATGTGAATAAATGTTTTTATTTTTGATTTTCGATAAGTGGTGGGAGGAAGTTACATAAACGACAAGTGACTGTCCATAGTTGGTTAATCGACCCATGAAACGCTAAATGAATTTCTTGACTTATTTGGCGAAATACTTTTATTCTACGTATAGCTCGTTTTACATGAATTCTCAAAGATGCTATAGTTTGATTTTTTATTGCATCTTCTTTACATAGTTGTAATTGTCCGTTTAAAAAAGATGGTATGTTTAATTTAACATTGATTGTTTTCAAAATATCTGAGATGGTAAATCCACGATAAGCCATAACTGAATCATTTTCATCCCATAGTTCTTCATTAAAAAAACTGGACTTTATTACAATTTCTTTGTCAGAAATAGATTCAACATAAAGTTGAATTATAAAAGTTATAGCTCCTGATTGGAGATGGAGATACCTAACAACCTTTATCTAACAATCCTTTATAAGTTGCATGATGTTTATAATTGGAGAATAAAGAACTCTGCTGTCTTAGTGATGAAGGTTTCTGACAAAAAAGTTCAGTGCAATCAATGATGCATCTTGTTAAAGGAAATGTCATCTTGAAGTTTTCTGGCATATACTATTAACTTTTTCCCATGATGGCCAAATAGGAACACTTCTCAATGAAAAATATAGAAATTTTGTCGATGTTATTAAACAACGTGATGTTGTAGATATTGATATTTTGAATAACCAAGACGTGTGAAAAATTGTATATCCATTATTTAGCCACACTAAAAACATATATTGATCTTCTGTGTTAAAAACATAAAACTGATCTTCTGTGTTAAATTTTGGACCGGTTTTTTCCTCATTGACTAAAATATTAGTTTTTTTCGATAGTGATGAGTTGTGATATTTAATATTTTCTCCATTATTTCATGGATTTAAAAATTTGTACAAATTAGTAAACTGTTCATGCTCAATGCCAGTATACTTTTGGAACAATTTTTTGTCTGCTGACATATTTTCATAACTATGAATATATTTTCTTTTATATTGATTAATTTGATTTTTTATTATTTCGTTTTTAGATTCTAAATAGCGCATTTTAGATATCAACTCTTGCTTTTCTTTTTCCAATAAATCAATTTTATGTTGTCCTGACAACAGCTTCTTTTTAGATTGCTGTCATCCTTAAAGTCAATTATTTGTACTTTGTTAATAATTTTAATGTCTTCATTTTTAGAAACGTTTTCTAAATTTTCAACTAGTTTTCTTTTTTTAGGAGAAGACCTTTTTTTCATCAATTTACTTTTTAAATTGAAAAACAGATTGGAATGCTCCCTTTTTGAGAGTTTTTCTGCCAATATTTATCGATAATTGAATATCTTCAACTTAAAATGAAGCTCGCAAACTAAACTAACTAACATTGTATTTTTTATAACAAAATTTCATTACCCTACTTTTCTTCTAAACTGAGAAATAATTTTAGACCAGTTATTACGACAAGCAGTGCCCTTAGGAATTTTAAAAATTCCTGACTTGTTTCTTTGAGAATCGTAAAATGCTCTTTTGCATTGTGGAATACAGCAATAAGCTCCACTGCATCCAAAATCAAGTTTTAAAACTTTTTTCAATGTAGAACAAGTAAAATCACACATATTTAAAAAAATACTAATAGCTACTAAATTTTAATGTTAACGTTTTACGATTGCCCGAGAACATAACGTCATTTTTCATCATAGGAATGCGGGTTGCGCCTTTTGCCAGAAATATTTTATCTGGACATGCTTATCGACGAAAAAATTCGCTTCGCGCCAATATTTCGTCTTGCGGAAAACGGCATTAACATTGAGTTTTATTATCTATTTTGAATAGATGATATAATCATAAAATGACGCAACTTTCCAGATATTTTAATTATATTTCAACTTTTGATGTTTAAAAATGAGTTTGAATTTGAAAAATTATTTTTAAACACTTTACTAAACCCAATAATAGTTATAAAATAAACAAAAAATAAAGTAAACCAAAATTTCTCAGAAGAGCACAATGCATAGCTGATGTATTCCGCAACAAATCAGAAAATCTATTTTAAGTTGATAAACAGTTTATTATGTAAAAGTTTAACAATTTTTTAAATAAATATATATCGGGTTTTTTTTTTAGGTGTGCTGGTTTACCCGGTAATTTTTGAAAGTGCATGGTAATTTTAGAGGTGCTTGGTAACTTTTTAAGGTGTCTGGCAACCCAAAAATAAAAAAAAAATGGTTAATAACCTAAAAACCTTCGATGTATCGAGTACCCGATCATTTGAAATTACCGGGTAACTGGCAAACATACTGAAATTACAGGGTAACCCATCATCTCTAAATTTTATCTAGCTCTTTCAGGTATATTTACAAGCACCTTCAAAAACTAACAAGCAACTCCAAAATTTACCAGGTACTAGCAGAACAAAAAAATTGCTGGGTGCCCGGCACCTTTATTTTGAAATTTGTTAGATTTTTAGAAAATTTCAAAATTCAGCAAGATTCTTGTGAAATTTTTTTAGAAAAATTGGTTAAAGTAAATCATTCCACTTATTTCGAATAAAGGTAAGAGTATTGTTTTATATTTTAAAAGCTAAAATCCTATTACCAGATCTTAATTAATTTTTCAACTAACTAACAAACTGTCTTAACTCATTGAAGCATTTGAAAATGATCAGCAACAACACTTTTAAAGTTATAAATTAGTAAAACGAAATAAAAACGCAAGTCTTTAGATGACGCGTCTAACTTCAAAAAACTTTTTTAAATAGTAAACTTGTCCAAGGGTCATACATACTAAAATTAAACTCTCAAAGAATGCCCACCATACAACGCGGCTGTTTGTACTGTCGTTTACTAAAAGAAAAATTAAAAGAAATATTAGCTTATGTAATTGTAAAATGTACATTTTTTAACAGCTGTTTCATAATAATTTCAATAGGATTTAATAAGTTTTACATTTTGGTGAGAAATAAATTAAAAGCTCATTTTCGATAACTCGGGATTTACTTGGTTGGTGATTTTCAAAGCCTGTTTACATTGAAAAAAAGTTTTGTCCTTATCAGTGACTGTAATAAATATTTTCTAATTTTTAAGGCCAATTTTCACTTGGGATGGGTGGGAAAATTTTCCAAAAATTAATAAACGCCGCCCCCCCTTGTATTAGGGACTCGAGAGTAAATGAAAAAGTATTGTATTTCATTATTTTTCACTGAGTTCACTTAGTATCTACGCTAATCAAAACAGTTTATATCATTTGAATTCAGTACAAAATTAAAAAAAAAACTTTTTCTTTCACCACATCAAATATCTAATAATAAAACTTTATTTTTGCTAACTCTTTGACCACAAAGAGATTTTTATCTAAACAAAATAGCAAAATTGAATTTAAATTTTAACTTTTTTTTTAAGTAAGACCAATTTCTCCATACAAAGTTTGTTTTTTAATAAAGCTAAACTTTGGGGTAGATGTTCTACCCTGAAGAGGGGGTGAGAATAAAACTGGGGGTACACCTAGTTATCAAACTTATTATCAAACAGCATGCAATCTTAAAAACAATGCAAATTTCATGGTTAAAAATACATACACAAAAAAAAGTAAAAAAAAAAAAAAAAAAAAAAAGGAAATTTTTAAAAAAGTTGATCATGTTAATGTATTTATTCTGAAAAAATTGCGCGGTTCTATGGATTTACTCTGCTTGTCATGTATTGTCCTACATAAATCATATGATAGAAATCCAACCTATAAATTGGAAAAATCATATGGAATAATTCAAAAAAGGTTTAACTCCACCCAGTTGATGCCATGCAGCAGTATTGTTAGATGAAAAGCGACGACTCTGTAAGTTTAAGACTAATAAAGTAACCTGTAAAGTGGTTTTTTGCTGATGTAGAAAAGCTTTAAAAACAAATGAATTCACCTTTAAAATTAAGATTAGTTTCCAATAGGTATAAAAAATGTCATACAACAGTTGCACTAAATGTGTTAAAAAATGGTGACAAATGCTTAAGTGCAAACTTCATAACTGCAAATATACATAATTGAAAATGCTGTAAACTTTATGTCATAAACTTTACAAATCTTTTCAATAAAGGGCATACATATTACATACATCTAATATTGGGTTTTGGTTAGGAAGGCTTTATTTTTGTTTTTTAATACTAGTTATCAAATAAACAAAAAACATTTTGCACAATTATACCAGTTAGGATTTATGTATATTGGCACATATTTATATATTTGTTGCAATTGGTTTGCAGTTATGAAAAAAATCACACTTACAAACACTAGCATAAATGTGTTCTTCAAGTCTATAAGTAACCATTGTTTTAGTTATATAGCTTCAACTAGTATTTTTAAAAATTCTTTTCAGAAAAACATTTCAAAGTTTAATAGTTTAATAAAAAAGACTTTGGAGCATAAAAAAAGTATGGAGCATAAAAAAAAACTTCTAGGAAGTTACCCAGGGTTCTATAGTTTTTAGATATTATAGTAAGCCACCTTGAAATTGGTGATTGGGTAGATTATAATGCTTAAAAATTAAAAACTAAGTGGATCTATTGCATGATTTGACCCTGAATATCTTGTATACAAAGTTAAACTCTAACATGTTTAACATAATTGTTTAGCAAAATACATTTTAATTCTTGTTTAAAATTAAATTTTTTCATTAAAATGAGATAAATACTTAAAAATAGAACTCAATTTACTTCTATGTAAAAAAAATATATATATAATAGAACATACTTGCTCTATGTACTCGATCACGAACTTCCATATACTCTTGTTCATGTTTTACACCAGCTAATGACACTGTGAGTTGTTGAATCATGTCATTTAATTTGTCGTGATGTTCTTAAAAAAATATATAATGAAACATGAATAGACATGCCACATAGTTAATATTTATAAAAACTACAAAAATATAGAACTAAGAGTTAAAAATATTTAAAAAATGAGTTGCTAAAAAAAACCTTTGTCTTATTATTAAATTGCCAATGACAATAATAACAGTAATATTTTTGCGAACATAGTGTTGTTTAGTCTATAATTTATTTTGTTAGTAAAATTATTTGTTTTTTTCTTAAAAACTTTATTTCTCAAAATATATATTTAAAATTTTATAATACCACAAACAGATATTAGAAAAAAACAAACAAAAAATTAAATAAAAAATCAATGACATTAACAATAATAAAGAAATCTTTACCAGCATCTTCTTTGGAATTATCTTTAGGAGGTTCTCCAATTTCCATGCTGAATTTTACTATTTTAGGTGTCATGGTAGACATCTTATTGCTAAAACAGTAGTTATAAATTCCTTCAACATGCGCTGCAAAAGTGTATTTACCACTAGTTTCACGCTCACCTTGATATATTACCCTTTGATCAGGTCCAACAACCTGAAATAAAAACATTAGGAGATGTATGAATGAATTCCAGTATGAGCAGCAATTTTACATATGGATTCAATATTACTACAGGGTAAAAAATGCATTTAATTTAATCTTGTAACTCTTTTGTATTTTAATTTACTTGTTAAATGTTTTTTGATAAACTAACACTTAAGATTCTAAAATAGAATATTATAAAATTCATCTATAATAGGAAATACTCAATTTCAAGTGCATAGCCCTGCATATTTATTTAAACTTAAATCAGTTTAAAAATGTTTAATTTTTCCCCTGAAAATAATTTAACAGATATTTGATTTATCTAATGTTTTAAAACAAAATATAAATTCAAATAAAAACATTTTTAAAAATAATTAGTTTAATGCAATAAAAGATCACCAATTTATTATTCATCTATTAATAATCCTAATCAAATAAATAATATTTAAAAACATATATTTATTTTTCACTTATTGCAAAGGGTAAATTAAGAATATATGGCAAGGATTAGTGTTGCTAGATGTCAGTCTTTTATGAAGGAAACACAGCAAAAATCTTTATTTTTATACATTTATACTTTATTCTTGAATATAAAAGCTGGACATCTGGCAACCCTAGCCAGAATATATGGTCAAAAATAACAGTTAGTCTTAAAACACTGGAGGACTGCTGTTGTTACTTTATATTTTATTGTTATTTCTTTAGCTATATTTAAAAAAAATGTTCAGATATTTCTTTTTAAGTACTTTTTTTATAAAAATAGTTTTTATAGCAGTTTGAAGAAAGTATTTACAGAGAAACCCATACATTCTAAGATATTCATAGAAACCTGTCATAGTTATAATTAAAACAGCACAAGGTACAAAGCCAGGTTTAAATAATATGAAAAAAATGAATTATTGTTTAAAAAGATTTAATTCAGGATAATTCTTTTATTATTCAAATGCATTTTAGGATGAAGTTATAAACAATTTTTAAAAATTATATTTCTTTTTTTCATGAAAAAAGTAAAATAATAATAATAAATAAAAAAACACTTATTATTATTATTATACTGCAATATAAATGTTTACTTAGAATTACCTTGACATCGATATCTAAAAATCCACCATCAGCTACTTCAAACATTAGTGACATTCTAGTTCCTGGACTAACTCTATCATGAAAACATTCCTCCCCATGGGCATCTATGTTTACAAAATACCCGTAACTTGATTGAAAATAAAGTAGAACAGAAAATAAAACAATCATCTTTAAGAATATGATAGGTAACTAGTAGTTAATATTTAACACTAATTCGTCGATGATTTAAAGTTAAATTTTATTATTACGTGTATAACCTCGATTCGAAGTTGTTTCCGATAGATATCGGCTCTTGCGTAAATCAGGTCAGGAGTCAATAAGCCAAGCTAATAAACGACTACTTATTTTATCAGTATTTTGTTCTTTGTTACATCTTTAAAATCGTGTATACCAAAGAAAAAAATTTAAATACAAAATTTCTTAAAAAATAAATTTAAAGAACGCAAAATTTCAAAGAAAATATGACATTTGGTTCGGTGATAAGAACCTTGCTGTGATATTTTGGGGGCTAGAGCGGCCATACTTACCAGGCACCTTTATAGCGGGTGACAACTAAGGGCATCAACTTTTTAGAAAAATAATTCCCCCTAATAAAATTACTAACTTGTAGGTCAAGAATAGATTTTAATCCTCAGTAAAATAGCGATCTTGGCCGCATCCGCTCATCATGGAATAATATTTTGACTGAAGCGAAAGCTATTGCAGGTCCTCTAGGCTTTGAAACAGAATTTTTGGCAAAACGAAAGTCGAGAGTGAAACGGTATCACAATGAACTTGAAAATGCAGCTTTCTGCTATCAGAGCCGCGAGCATCAGTTTGAGGGAAACATCTTTAACGTCGCTATTGATCATTTTATTTATCAAATTCAGTCATGATTTGACATGGTAAAGAATGTTTTTTCTTGGTTCTCATTCATCTGGCTGAAAGACCAGGAACTAGATTCTCAAGAAATCAAAGCTCGTGAATTAACACAGTCCTACGCTAATGATGTCAAAGAAGATGACTTCTTATAATTGTTTGAAGGAGTCTTCGTTTTTTATTCCTAGAAACTCATTGAGCCTTCTTAACCAAATACATTCAATGAGTCTGCAGCCTATTTTTCCATATGTGTGCATCTTAATTAAAATTTTTAATATAATGCCAGTATCTGTTGCAGAGGGTAAACGATACATTAGTAAGTTAAAATTGATAAAGAATTATTATAGGGCCACTATGGGACAAGAACGTCTTTTGGATCTCATGATGTTTTCAGTGAAAAATGAGTTGGCTAAAACTCATTCATATGATGATAAAATAATAAATTTTGCAGGTAAAAAAGCAAGAAAAGAGTATTTTATATAGGCCGTTTTTTGTTACTTTAATTTCTAAAGAATGTCTTATAATGCACTTTGAGTTGTATTTGCATTGCTTAGTTGTATTTTTTATAGACGCATTTTTTGAAAGTTTTGCCGTAAATTAATTTTAACAGAAATAAATCACAATTGAAAAAGTTCATTTTAAAACCGTGTACAGTTATACATATATATATGCATGAATGAATTCGATAAATTTTTTTTAAAATCATCTATGCTTAAAGGGGCGCCTACTCAACGTTATGCCCCGTGCGCCACAAAAGCTCTTGGCGGCCCTGAACCTAGCTAACATCAGTCTAACTATTTTTCTAAGAGAAATCCATAAATTTACAAGAGATTGAAAGTTTTTTAATGCAAGAGCAGTTTTTTTAAATCATAATTGGCAATTAAAATAAACACTTAGTTATAACAAAATCGAAGTAATTAGAAATTACAATTTGCGCTGTTATTGGGTGATATAGTAATCCTAACACGTTGCATTCTCATATATCTTTTCATCCATTACCCTCAGATCCAATAACTACAATTTTATGTAAAAAGGCAATCGGTATATATAACTGCAAAAAGAGTGTAAGAAAATGTTCTTTAAATTTTGATGGTTCATGTTTTCAAAATAACAAATGACAAAAAAGAATTATTCAAAAATCAATGCAAGGGCGGATATATTGTTTGAAAAATGAAAATTTTTTGCATAATAACAAGTACTCTCACTGATAATAAATTAAAATGTTAAACTACTTAAAGTAGATTTTCCTGCTATAATCAGACTTCTAATTTTTCTGCCAAATTTATCCATTTATTAATCCAGATTATTACTTTAACCCACAAAAAAGTTCTGTGTGAAAAGTTTAATAGTGAAAACAATCAACTTTAATATTTTTACATACGTTGAACCAATGTAACTCCGCCAGTTATGATTAATCACAATGGCATTACACTTTTATATATTAGTATTGTGTAATATCATGAAAGCAAAAAATTTTTGGTGTCTTTAATAATAAATTATTGGCATTCATACCCATATACGAAAAGAACTCATTTAGGTTTCATTTACGGTAAACATCTTTTCGTTTTAAGTCTTCTTATGTTTTAAGTGCTTCTCTTGTGTTTTTTTTTTACTCATCTTGTTTTCTCAAAATATAAATTGTCGTACAATTTTACTTTATCATATTATTTTGTACATCAAATATTGTTTTAATTATTGTTTTATAAACTAACTGTTTATTTTGATTTCAAAATGAACAATTAGTTTATAAACAAGAAAGTTTAAGTTCAGTTATAAAGTTTTTAGCTTTAAGTGCAACAAAATTCACGATGTAATGAATGAACTGCCAGTTAAAGCGGATAATTGTGAAACAAAAATGTGTCATGGGCCACTGATGTGGAGATAATTAAATGTACTTTATTTATGGGTGTAGATAACTAAGTTTACAGTAAGTATGGAACAAAACAAAAGCTAATACCTTTTTCATTAATTTAAAAAAAAAATCTTTTGAAAAAGAAAACAACATTTTCTCAGCTTTTTTGTGAGATTATGAGCTATAACTTACAACACTGATAGGTTATATTGTAATAAACAAAACCTTAAAAGAAAAACTAAAAAAAATAATGATTTTTAAAATGGCAGTTCTGTTAATTTTAAAGGATATTATAGATAAAAAAACCAAGGTAAAATAATAATATATTCAAATATAAACAAGTAAACGATTAGTTCTAATATTGTATTGCAGTTTTGTCTATAAAGAAACAACTCTGAAAATTTGAACTCAATTGCATATCTGGCTCTAAAGATATAAATTATTTACTATTTGCAGACAGACAAAAAAATACAATCAAGAAAACAAGTTTCAAAGTTTAAAAACAATATAATGATTAAAAACTTCATGAAGTATAAGAGCCAACTCCCTCTTTTTCTTTTTTCTTATCAATGTATTCTTTTCTGATATATCTCCTTTTCCTCCTAGCCATTTTTTGATTAGGAGTAGAAAATTTAATTTGCTTTTTTACTCGCAATATGTTTTCCTGTCATGAATATTAAAACTTCCGGGCGAGCGAGCTTCAAATAATTTCTTTTGACACCTCTCAAAACATTGTGGCCGTGGCGCAGTGGTTAGAGCGCTTGATTTATAAGCAGGAGATTCAGGTTCAAAACGAGCTTTGGACATATTTTCGCGTCACGGTAAGGAAGGAGGCGTGAACTTCCTGGTTGAACGCACTTCCGCGGTGCTCTGTAACAAGACCGTTAGGTCTTCTTGGGGTACCTAAATAAATTAAAAAAAAAAAAATCATTGTAATTTATTGCAGTTAAAGCAACATTCAGATCTAGAAATTCTTTAGTAATAAAAATGTTTTTTGGACACTTTTTCCAGATTATCCGGTTGAAAGCTTCATTTGGATTTTGTGTTGTACCATTTAAGTATCTTGATAACAAATTATCTGGCTGTAGTCCAATAAATGTGTCTATAAGAATATTAATAATGGTGAGAGGCAGATTAATTGTTAACTAATAACTTTTATTATTGTGCCAATACTTGCAGCTTTTCTTTGTACACGGTCAAAATAGATGTCTTTCCTCCCTACTATCAATTTGATAAAAGAAGTTTCGCATGTAGAATCTGCTTCCATTTCCTTTAATTCTATGGAGTTAGCTTGAAGCGTCCTACATAGACGTTTCATTTCATTCATTCAACAATTCCAAACTTTTATAAGATTGGTTTCATTGCGTCCCAAATACCAGATGTAGTCATCCGTCATAATTACATCCCACCTGCCCTGGTATCTTTTCTTTATTTCAAATATACCTTGATAAAAACTTTCTTTGTGCTCTTCACTTACATTACCCAAATTTTTTCTAAAAAATTCATAGTGTGAATGCATTACTGATATTCTGCATATCTGCGTACAGTACAACTAGGTTTTCCACCAGCTTTTTTTTGGTTATCATTCTTATTAAAAAACTGTTCACAATGTGTCTGAACGCACCCACACTTATTTTTTAACTGCAGACAACTTGTCTTAAAGCTCCTTAAACGTCAATACAACTTTGATTTGTGGACTAACAAATATACCTGCTGAAATTTTTGTATCGGATTCCTTTGGAAACATATACCAAATATGCTGAAATGCTGCTCAAGCTGGGTTTAGTGCTTTGACATATTATTTGGCAAGATCTAGTTTAATGTGAATGAGTGGAAACAAGATCATCGCAAGATGCACTAATTTATAACATTATGCGAAATAGACTGTAAACATTTTCTTCCTAGCCACTACCGTATTATATTGTGATAATCTACGGCCCTGCCATCTTATAAACAAAGAAAATATGAGTACTTTGTGTATTCTATTTGTAGACCGGAAAGAAATGTTAACATCTTAAAGATTCCATATACACTTCACTTATCTTTGTCGTAGTTGATTTTTTCAAGCAATAATTTCACGTTCTTGTAGTTTTTCTTTAGATGAACGGAATGATTGAGGAATATTGATTTTCGTTAGGAAGCAAAACTTCCTTTTGGACTTTTTTTTGAGCTGTAAATGAATAACCTCCACTTTTCAGGATTATGAACAACGCCTATTTTATCAAAAAGACCACAAACGTCATGAATATAACAAAGTGTAAATTTTTCATGTCTCTTTCGGTATTTTGAAATTTTTTACCTTCAATCTTATAAATTCCATTCTTTTAAACGTGATGTCAGATGTTTGGCATTTGATTTAGTGAGACCAAAATCTCAAAACTCGTCAAGTTATTTTTGATAAAGGAAATTATTCGGTTCCCTAAAATGACAGTCATCACTGATTTCGTAGTTGTTGTAAAGTCGTGTACGATTGTGTAAAAATGCTGGGTTTGACAAGCATAAAAATAAAATAAACATTTCATTTTAAAATAAGAGATATTATATAT